AATTTGTCAGGCTGCTAAAGTTGATCATCCATGTAGAACAGAGATTGCTGCATAATGTGTACATTAGAGAATGGGCTGTACTGAGCACAAACTGAGCCTTCCACGACTGCAGTAGAAACATAGCTGACGAGGTAATTTCATCACATTTGTGGCATTTTTTCCATCATATTAAATAAGAAATATATATGTATATAAAAATGTACAAGCAAAAAGATTTATTTTGTTTGATGGAAAATATTGTGTGATTCCATTGACACAAACTCCTAACACAGGAGATATTAGTATCATTCCTTATAGAAAGCTTCCTGAAAGGATCCTTTCCCCAGCAAGGAAATGTGAAAGTCTTGTCCTAAATCTATGAGCTACAGCAATGCAGAGAGGAGTAGTATGACTGAAAACAGAGCAGCTTGTTTTGGCATGCTGTGCCTTTTTTTTTTGAGGTTGTTTAAATTATTTAAGAGTGCTGTGAAGTGCTTTTTATCCTCAAGTTGATCTTTGTGGATTTTATTTTAGTAGTAATATTAAAAATATTTTAATTGTCTAATTTACTTAGAAAAAGAAAAATCCCAGTTCATCATTATCCCTTGCATACGAAACAAGGTACCTGGAAGATGTGAAACCATAATCTCAGACTCGTCAAAATGTGAATCACTTTATTATATAATCTGTAGTGCGCCATGAAGGTGCCTGACTGCCTTTTATATAAAATAAATAAAGAAATGCTAATAGCAAACCAAAATCATTTACACCTCTGTAATACATTTTAGTCTGCACCTATGCTGTGATGCACTTTGTGGTAACTGACAGTAAAAACTTCAGTATACAGGCTCCCCTGCTGTATGAATTACAGTTTTTGCTGTTTGTAGTAGTTTGCTCATACTCCTGACTGTTGTCTCCTGAGATTTAAAAGAAACCCTGCTGTTTTGTTTACATGGTGAGTTTTTTAATAGTTGGTTCCTGATATGAAAACTTAACTAAAAAATGTGACTATTGGTTGAGAATTGACTACTGTATTTGTAGCATTTTCAAGTGAATGAGTTTGATGTTACAAAATATAAACAAGATTTATTTGTTTTTCTGGGTTATTCTTCTGGATTAAAAATCTCATTTCAAATAGGATTGGCTTGTTGAAAATGTTATCCTCACATGAACTTACTAATATGATTTGCATTATCATAAACTGCCTCCATATGTACCTTGTGATTCTGTACCAGTTTGTTTTACCTGGTTCATTTTAATGGGTATCATGCTGAATTACAGTAGTTTCTTTTTGGATTTTAGGTTTGGGTTTATTCTTTTTTCTTTTAAATGGTCTAAGTTGAAACTAAAGTCTTTAAATGAGCTTAAAGTGGAGCAATATTTTATTTTGGCTTAAGAGGTCCCTGTTTGCCCCAAAATATGTGTTTTATTCTTTTACTTCAGCTCAAAATGTGAAAAGTATTTTTCAGTTTTGTGCAAGTTGATTTCTTTTCTAAATTTTGTTTGATTGTTTGGAAAAAAGCTAGAAGTTGCATTACTCAGACAGTTCTAGTTAATAATTCTTAAATACCCAGTGGCCTGAGCCAAATATGTGGTGCTAAGAGTCCGTAGAGGAGGTGATGCTGCTGCACCTTCTGCCTCACTGCCTGTGGAGCATCTTCTCTGAGCCTAGCATCTTTCTTTGGTTTCATTCTGCAGGGTCGAGAGGGGAGATTGAAATAAATTGTCATCTAATCAATGAAAAGATTTTTAAAAAGCAAAACACAGCACAAGAGAGAAGCCGTGAATGCTAATCTGTAACCTAGAAGACTCCTACTTTCGATTAACGTTTATATTTTGGTTAGCAATTTCTTCCTCTGATGACTTTGTAGCCTTTGCTCCTAAGGCCATAAGCTGTTCCTGTTGTATCCAGAGCTTTGTACGTTCGTGGTGCTGTTGCGACAAATACCATTCTCACCATGGGTTAGTCAGATACGCTTCTGGGACTTCACACCCCTACTAATGGAAAGCCCACCCTTTTGTAGCCCTGAGAGCCTGGAGATGCAAATGAAACCAAGTGCAAGTAATTCAAACCAAAATAACTCTATTAGCAGAATCTGGAAGAGTTTATAAGATAGTCACTTTGCTGACAAGTAAACTGCAAAGAAAAGATGAAAATTGAGTCTGACTGGAAGAAGGAAAAGTACTTTCCCTTTACTTGGTTTCTTTTTGTGTACAGCATGAATGCACAGTTTGTTGCCAGGCATGTAAGCTGTTGACTGAAGCAGAGAAGAATGAGGACTCTATTAGGGAAAGCAAAGTATTTAATTGTTATTTTTATAGCTATTTCCTTTTCTAAGAAAATCTTCATATTCTAATATTTCTGTGACTTTTCGTTTTTATTTCTTACATAAATGAGAGAATCAGGTCAGCTCAGTTCCCGCATCTAATGGCTTTTTGACAAAGAAAAAATTAATCAGAATAGCTACTGTGGAATAAATTACTCCAAAATAGCTTCCCCATGGATACTGTTATTCTGAAATAAGTATGCCTTTTTTCTGATTAGTACTTATTCTGCCAGGCCAATGTTTGTCAAGTTTCACAGATAGACAGCAGTCAGCTTGTGGAAATTAGTACCTTCCAGAAAGTACCTTGACTCCTTGAAACAAGACTTGTCACTGCCATGACCATTCCACTGGCAAAGCCCAGCCCTGAAGGGCTACCCCTAACCACATCAAAGCCCTCTGCAGGGATTGTCACCAGTATAAACCAAAAGCAAGAGATTTCAATTTCTTTATCAACTTTTCAATTCTAGTAAAAATCTTTAATATTTGCAGTCTTGGAGAATCTACTAGTAATTTGATGCTTTTCCGTTCACTGATTAAGAATATAGAGAGTTTCATTCCTTGGACAAAAAAGAGGAAACAACAAGAGGAGTTATTTTTTCCCTCACAGTTCCAAGCCTGCTCCTCAGGTTTCAACCTAAAAAGCTCTCTTGTTTTTTCATCAGAAGACAGTGAAAACCCCTCTGGTTCCTATCGTGAACTCCTCCATCCACCTTCTGTGTGGTTTTGTTTAGACTGGAGGCCCCTTATTGTTTCAGCTTACTGATTTCCGAGCAGATTTCAATAGCTTTCTAGGTTTTCCTGAATACAAAGTGACTCCAACACTCAAAATCAATAAACTCAGCATTGCCCTGTGAAGTTCTTCTCCCACCGCTGGCAAATGGGGACTGGGGGAATGTGGAAAGAACTTAAAGCATGCACTGACCTGTAGCTATGCCAGCTTTGCTGGATCCAAGGGTCTTAGATTATTGTTGCTAGCTCTCTACAGTTGCCCTTGGCTCATTATCAGAAAAACTAACCTGCTCTATCTGATTTCCTAGCTGCAGTAGGATAGATTTGTTAATATTTTTTGCTTAGCCAAGCAGTTACCTTGCTCAAGGTCAGGCAAGGATTTTCAGATTCCAGGAAAGCCCATTTCATTATACTTATTTGTTCTGTAGAAGGGCTGTTGCTTTCTTTTCAAAGTGAATATTTTATGCTGTTATTTACTGAACTTTCACTGAGTGCAGAATGCTCTATTGAGAAAAGAGCAGAGATGGCTGAGGGTTGGTCTCTCACCCATTAGAGTCAATGACAAAACTACAGCAGTTTCCCTGATAACGCAGTTTGCCCTGAGGAGGTACGGTTTTATAGGCACCAAAGCGTTGGTACAAACGGAGCATGAAAAGTCAAAAGATGAAGTCAAAATATTTGACAGTATGTTGATCCTATAGCATTCCGATTTTAACACAAGGGAAATCCATACAGTGATATGATGACTCCACATTTATTCAGACTGACCTTGTTAAAAATACAAAGAGATGTCTTTGTTGAAGGATACAATGCCTTAATCTTGCTTTATATGCATTGGTGTGCTTGTCAGTCCAAGCAAGTTAGCAACTGCTAAGTCATAAAATGGATGTTTAAAAATATAGTTGGACATTTTACCGTACCTTATTAAACCTGTTTCTGGTTGAGTATGTAATTTAGGCAATTTGGATGTCTAAGCTGGTGATAGAAGCAATTAAATACCAATAGCCCAATTTTAAGTTTTATTGAGGTGCTTAATTTAGATGCACTTCAGTGCTTCACTTTTCATCATAAGCTTTGGACATTTAAGTAAATTAATTTCACCCACAAATGTTGTTGCAAGTTTGTCCATGAAGAAATGTAGATTTTTTTTTTTAACAAAAAAAATCCAATTATTTCTCTTATTTTTCCACTTGAAAATGGAGGGAGAAGGAATAGGTTTATTTTCACTTTCCAAATTTGCTTTCCTGGTGCAAACATCCATGGAGAAGACTGTATCTGTCAGGTCACCGGGACAGAGCCTGCATCAAGGTGTGTATTTGTATATCACCAACTACAAAAGGACTGTAGGCATGATTCTGCCCTTTGGATCATTCCAGTATTGCAACCAATAAATGAAAAGTAAACATCCTAAAGCACTGATAAAACTATTTTAGGGCTTAAAAATAGAAGTCAGACAACTGTAACAAGTACCTTTTTTTTTTACTACTGTAGTGAGTATGCTTATGAGAGTTAGATAACATTTCAGACTCCATTGTTGCAGACTGGTTAGTAAGTGTATGTTCTTCACAGGTGTGAACAGACAGTAGGGACAGTAAAGGACTATTAGAGAGATCAGCCGCACAGTGTGGATCATGCACCCGTTGGACTAGCAAGTATCGTGTAGTGATCTTCTTCTTCTGCCTGTTCTGCAGTGAGGAGAGTCCAACTCTTCCCTATTCACTTAGTTTCTAGGTTCTATTTTCTCATTGTTGTGTGGGGATTTTATGAGGTAATACAGTGTTAATGACTAGAGAGAAATACCCCTCCTGGACTAAGCATGTATGTTAATGCTTTATTGAATTTGAATATGTCATCATCAGCATACCTTCCAATTGATTAAATACCTCCTGTGCTCTCCAGTAGTAAACACAGTGCTTTATTCTCAGAATCGCTCAATTTCCTGAACTTTCCATTCTCTCCATTCAGATGGCTTGACAGACTGTGTAGACCCTGACTGTTGTCAGCAAAGCAGTTGTTACGCAAGTCCTCTCTGCCAGGGTTCGCCTGATCCCCTTGACCTTATTCAGCAAAGCCAACCGCCTTTCTCTCAACATCCTCCAAGGCTCTTTTATGATCGAATCAGATTCCTTATTGGGAAGGAAAGCACTCATGTAATCCCAGGAGATGTCTCCTTTGAGAGCAGGTGAGTTTTCTTTTAGACAAAAGACTTTTCTGAATATTGAGAACTGCAGTGAAATTATTTAACCAGGAAAAAACAGTGGTACCTGGATAGCTGAGAATTCTTGAGTGGTGATCAAAAAATACTTTAAGTAAGGATAGCAAATGTTTAAGTCCCAACAGCTGAGGATCTTGTTTATCAGATTCTCATTACTACCTATCTAGTTCATAAAAGTGTCACAGCAACAAACTCTACTACTCTTATTAACAAGACTTTGACTTTTGTGGAAGGTAAGCTATCTTGTACGTGTAAAATAAGTGGGGGAAGTTGAGCCCTTTGTGCTGTAGGTACATATAATGGCAAGAAGCAGAAGGACAAGTTGGATTCATATGCGTTGTATTCAGTCACCTTTCTGTCTAAAAGAATTTGATTGGTATTTACAGTTGTAATATATTTAACACGTTTCACTTACCTATAATGCAGCTACTTAATTAACAAACTTTTTTGGTTTTACTACATGTTGAGAGACCAGGGTGGAGTTTACTGTTTTGTGCTGTGGGTTACTTTCAAGCTGTCATGCAAACAATAGAGCGCTCTCTGAGTTTCTGCAAGATTGGCTTGCCCTTTAATAGGAAAAGACTATGCAATAAGAAAAGGGCACTTACTTGCTCAGAAAACCTGGTAACACATATTTTCTTGAACATTTGAAATATAGGAGCACATAAGTTTTTATGCTGTAGTTCACCTGGGAGGCTATAACTTACATGCTGACAAAGAGATCCACAAATCATCCGCATCACCTAACTATCACCCTGTCAACTAGGCCTATGCATTAGATAAACCATGTTGCAGTAATAAGGACATAAGAATTTTTTTATTTTCACAGTATACAGCACTTAGGCTACAACATCAACTTCATTTCATAGCTGCACACAAATTCAGTGCACTTCCTCTTTGTAACTTATTAATTTTTAATGAAGTAAATATGTAAACAGAGTCTTTATTGATCTGAAATACCTAAACATTTAATCACTATTAATAATGTAACAGAATGTTATAAATATGTAGAGCAACAGGGCATGAAAATGAACTCCACGAACAGCACCCACCTGCCAATGGTGGGTCTCTCGGCGTGTGTCTCGCTGATGAACAGGGCCACTGCACGTGGGGCAAGGTCCTTGGCTGGCTGTACGCGCAGCGGAGCATACTGCAGTTTAAACCAAAAGTCACCAGTGAAAGATTTTCCTCATCAAAATGCCTCACAGGGAGGAGTTTTCCGAGAGGAGGTGAGCACTCAAGTCGCCTGCACAGTGTTCTGTGACACTGCAAATGTTAGCAGCCAGATTGCACGTAATCCCATCAACGTGCTTTTATAGATATAAGGAACTGATCTTTTAAAGCTATCATTGATTGGGTTTAACTTGGATTTAAAAGCTTTTTCTGAGTATCTAGTTTCTTTACCCTGATATCTGCCATGCCATTGAAGAACGAAGAGCGGCAAAGGCCCTTGTGTGAGCAGCAGCCCACCCTCACCATGGTTTGATGCTTTTATACCACTAAGGAATACGACTTCTCCTTGCATTGGTGCGTTGTTCACACCCCAGATATCATTTCCTCCCACTGTAGAGAAAGTACTAGTTAGTTTGGTGAGAAGATCATTGGGATTCAGATGAGGCTGTCTGTGTCTTTGGAATCAGGGCAGTGCCTGGAGACTTGCGCTGTGCCATGTCTCCTGGGTTTTGTCAACAGTAATCTGCAATGTAGTGGGCACCCCGAGGAGTTCATCAGTCCAGACTTAGCTTGATCCTCAAGCCTTCCAGGCTGTTGAAAAATTGCTCATCCAGAAGTCAAATATTATTAAAAACTGCCAGAATTTTCCTCAAGGATGAGAGATAAGCAGAGTCTCAGAAGGAGGCAATAGCTTAGCTGTGCTGCTTCTGTTCAGAAATCTTCCTCTGACATTGTCAATCTCACTGTCATCTAGTGTCTGTTCTTCTCCTGGGAATTAAGATTACTGAAAAAAATATAGAAAGACAACTGTTACTACAATAAAAAAAAAAATCAGAAATCTGTGATCCTGCCTATCTGGTACACACCAAAGAATGCTTGGGGGTTTTTAATCTACTTTTGGCTATTGCTGAAAAGGTTGTGTCCAGGCAGATGATATTAACTCATGGCTGCCTGCAATGCCACTTATTTTATAGCATTGGTGATTCAACAAGAAATGTTGGAAGGACTGGATGAAATAGTGGCATTCATTTATTTCAGAGCCCTGGCATCTATTCCCACTGGTGCTCAAACTTTGCAAAGCCCTATCTGGCTTTTTTTTTTCCTTTGCAAGAAGTCTCTGAGACCATTAGGAGGTTTAAGGAAGAAACATCTATCCAATGTTTTCAGCCTTGTGATTCAAATAACATTGTACAGTGTTTTACGCTACCACAGGTCAGTGGAACTCCAATAAGGGTGATGTGTGTGTGTGAATCTCACTGTAGATAAAACCAAAGTGATGTTGAATATATTTCGGAAAGCTATCAAAAAAATGGTGAAGATTATCTCTGTCCTTCAGACTGAAAGTGTTTGGTCTCTGCCATATCCTGGCATTTTCAACATCATCTGAAATACTAAAATTAGTTGTTCGGACAACTGCTGGGACATCTATACTTTTGCATTTGCATCTTAGACTTTAGCTTAGGTCTAATTTTTAAGCGTTTGGCTTCTATAACGCAGGCAGGGTGTTGCGTTGAGCCATGGCTAAATACTAGACCAAAATTAATGTTAAGGAGCTGAATGTTTTCAAAACATATTTTGCTTTTTATTACGTCAAAGGTATGTCATTTGCACTGGGTTTTTACAAACTCCCAACTTAAACTGTGACATGCTGAAAGGTGGATTAGACAAATTCTGAATAAATGGAAATGTACTTGCTTACATCAGGAATGGTTTTGACCTACTGCATGTAGCAGGGTATAGCAGATTATAATGTTTTTATCAACTTCTGTTCTCAGGAAGGTTTTTAGCTTGTTTCTTTGCTGCGTATTTTAATGGGTACTGCTGGCAAGCTGCAAATTGCCTACAAAAAGGGTCCAGGGTATGGTACTGAATTAATTACCCTTCAAAGGCTGCTTACAGCAACATAGCAGGAAGAAATGAATGTACCTTACTAGCCTTTAGCTTAATTTCTCTGATTGAAGATTTTAATCAGAAATGTAATACAGTAAATGACATCATCTGGTAATGTGACACTTGCAAATTCACAACTTGCCTGACAGAGTTCCACATCTGAGCCTAATGTCTCAGCCTGAGGTGCTCAGAGAATATTGGAAACCTAACACACAAAACAAAAGCTAAAAAAAATAGCAGATAAGTAGCAGAAGAGCAAAGCGGAATGGTGGTGGAATAATAAAATTCTTTACAAGTAGTGAAAGAATGCATCTTGAATTTTAAACTTCTATTTATATTTTAAATTAGAAATGTCAAACAAACTGCCTGACAGCAGGGAGCTGAGACCCGCAGAGCTGAGATCCTCAGTTACGCGTGGAATGACCCATGAAGCATTGACAGAGAAATCCTACTTCTTTTAGGCCACCTGCAACCCGTGGGAATCTCTGCTTTCTCTCAAAAAGCCAACTGCTCCCTCTGGAGTTGCAGATTTAGTACAGCTTGCCAGGGGACTAGAAACATTTTTAATGCATTTGAAAACACTCAGGCAGCTTACCAGGGACGTGTTCCTTCCCAGCTCCTCCAAATTAGAAAAGACATTTTTGCAGTTACTTGCAAGTTTAAACAAGTTGGACAGCCTTAGTCCAAGATTATGCAATCGTTGCAAATAGGTGACTGATGGACAAGTAGTATCAGTTATTATCCCCCATGAGAAAGAAAAGCAGGTCAGTCACAAGCATGTAGAATAAATCTTGGAGACTGAGAACAGAAGAGGGACATACAGCACACTGAGGAGGCATAATGATCTTTAGAGTTTTCTCTGTTAAAATTAAGAACAGCAGGGAGTGGTAGCAAGGTCCACAGCTCATCTGGAAAGAGGGTGAATGTTGAAGCAAGGAAGCGTGAAGTGGCAGTTGAATATGAAGGGACATCACTGCAGGGAACATGCTCTAAAAGCCCTGGTAAGGAAAGGAATTAAGTGAAGTCTTCTGCAAGCAGCAAAGCTGCAGGGATCCTGCATGCCAGCATGCCTCCGGGCACGGTGGTCCGCTCTGTGAGCTCTCAGGGCACTGGGAAAGGAGGGAGAACCTGCTGCAGGCTGGGGGCTTGTTTGTTACCTCCCCGAGCATTTGAGATTGGTGCTGGTCATAAAGTAACTGAAAAATGTTTTCATACCTGCAGTAAATGCAAAAATTAAAACTAATTCTGATCAAATGCTTAGTCAGAGATTTAGTAGGTGCTGGTAATTTAAGAAGAGACCAGAGAATAGAAGACTCTTCAACTTAGAGTAGGTAATAAAAAGACAGTAAATAACGAGGACAAATGTGGCAACGCGGAGGCAGGCTTAGAGCATTTAAAATCTAAAAGATTGCAAAGACAGTTCAATACAGATAAATGTAGAATAATGAGGTTTATGAGTCTTTATCACATACTGTAAAAGTGTGTGGCTTGTAAAATATGACAAATAAAAAAGGAGCAAGAAAGTTGAAAGATAAGTCTCAATATTATTTATGAAAAATGAGAAGTAAAGTGAATGAGTAGAGGAAAGACTATGTATGAAATAATGAAGACTGATGAATTGTTATCGCACAAATCTGTGTGCTTGATAAAATATGAGGACAGAGTCGAGTCAGAAGACAGGTTTGTGTGGAATGAGCAAACAGGAATATGAGAATAACGTACTGAATAATGATGACTCTTAGGGGTCTCTCTCTCACACACCAATGTGTGTTGTAAATATATGGAATGCACTAATAAAGGGATTAGAAAAGGAAAGGCAGGTCTGTTGATGTTGGAAATATGACAAAACAATAGAAACCGGTATTTTCTACTCTAACAAATCAAAGACTAATTGAACCTGGTGGTTCTGTTGAGTGAGTCTTGTGAGTCTGTTGAGACACACAAGAGCTTGATTGCCTTCAGTGGAGCAGCAGGCTTTGCCCACAAATAGGGCCACAACCAATTTAGTTAATGTAGAAAACGAAATGGTGGTAAATCAGAACTCTGTTTTGCCTACCGGCAGTAATGCAGCCTCTCCCATTCCTCTGGGATTTATCAGCATCTTTGCTGAAAATCAGCATCTTTCTGTGTCCTGGGAGCGTGGAATTCATCTTAGCAACTGTGGTGAATGGTGCACTTGCCAAGGGGCTAATTTTCACCAGTTGCGTTTTCTCAGGCCATAGTCAGCCGGGTTTGATGATATCATAGTGATAAATTAGTGTCCTATCAAGTGGCTTTGGAGAATGGGATCTTATGAAAGAAGTCAGAATTTTCAGAAATTTATGGTCTCCTATTTGTGCATATGATTTCATTGGATCCTAATCAATTAATCTGTCAAGGGATATTTTTTAAATTCATATATAAACTCCTAAATAATTTTCATCTAAGGAGCCATTAAGTTTTTGTTTTAGATTATGTATTTGCTGTGCAAAGGTAGGATGTGTCTGGTGAGGTCTACCATGAACTTTCAAATTGAGAGAGAAACATAACAATGTCTAAATTTATGCTTATTGTTTATATTGAGTAATTAATGCCAGTTACCTTTATAAGTATATTCTATTGTTTTTGACCTTAAATGTCTTAACATTATCCAAAGATTTCCACATACACTGTTCACTTCATTGTGTGAAACCAGAGTTCCAGGAAATATGTGCAATTGTATCATTGGAACCCAAGACCTGGATCTGTTTGGCTGGTGGAGGTACACTAATGTAGGGTACCTGACGGCACGGGGCAAAATAGTGAAAAGTCTTTCAGTGGAATGTAGCTGTGTAAGCCCTTAGAAAATCCCACTAGGTCCTAATCTGCACCATGAGGTTATTTTACATCTTATTCCTCATCCTTGATGAGACTTGTCTCCTTTATGTTTCAGTCTTCAAATATGTAAAAGGCTAAAGCTGAGAAAAAGAGAGTCATTTCTTCACCATTTCTGTGGCTAGGGTGAAAGTAATAGTCTTAAAGGGCAGCAGTGGAGATTCAAATTAGACAGTAGGAAAAACTTGTCATGAGTAAAGCACTCGTACAGAAGCATTGGAATGGGTTACTTGGTGAGGTTATAGAGTTAGACAAGCATCTGTCTGGAGTAATGTAGGTAGAGTTGATCTTACCTGAGGCAAAGGAATGGACAAGATAAAGTCTTGTATTTCCTTTCAGCTCTCATTTTCTATGATTCTGTGATCCTGTTAGCCTCCGATTAGACCCACTTAGTAATGAGTTCACTTTCCTGTCTGTTGACATTGATGCGTTCTGCTGTGCTACCATATTCCAACCCCTTTACTGGAATGGGAGGATTTTTTATGCTGGAAAGTGGATGCAAGTCCAGCACATCCCAGGGGGAATTTAAAAGGGCATAACATGTGATGGGGGAATTGAGAAAAATGTATGTTACACTTGATTAGGCACTCTCTAAATTTACCTATATAACTTTCTGAAGTTCAGTGAAGACCATGTGTCTCGCTGCTGCCTTATCACGTTGGTTCAGCTTTTTTCTAATAGATAGCAATGCCCTATTCTTAGCAGCAGAGAATGAGGTTTCATTCACCCCTTTCACAAATCATCACCCCCTAGAGCTGCAGCAAGCTAAATCACACTGTCAGTGAAACCTTTGCAGTGCTGTTCAATGGCAGAACAAATGATATCCTGAAATACAGCCGGAAATGGAAATATATTCTCGATACACCAGCGATTCATGGGAGAGTCTGTGTGTCGTCTTCATGAGATAATGGTTTTTCAAATCAATCTTTTGGACTTGTTTGAATTTTCATTCAAAGGCAACAGTCACAATGATATCAGAGTAGTTCTGTCTGCCTTGGACAGAAGTATAGCACAGTTTCTGAAATCAATGCCCTTCTCACCCCCTGATGTGTCTAAGATGTTGCTTTCTACTCTTTTTCGTACAGACGGGCATGTGTCATTCGAGGCCAGGTGGTAGCAATAGACGGAACACCTTTGGTTGGAGTGAACGTCAGTTTTCTGCACCACAATGAGTATGGATACACGATCAGTCGACAAGATGGAAGGTCAGACTTTAATGTATGGTCTTTCACTGTATAGTTAGGGCCATCTACCACCTTCTATTCATGTACATAATTTTCATAGACATCACTGTTCACAGCGTGGATTGAGGATGGCATCTGGCCCTCTGCTCTGGGAGCACATTTATTTAGAGCTTTCTGGGGTAAAGGGACCAAAGAAGAAAGAGAGGAAGAAAAAAACCTCAACACAAACAAGGTTACAGTGACATTCAAACACCTGGAGTCAAAATGTGACAGTACTGCTGTAACAGTACCTTCTTGACATTTGAATAATTTCACTAGTCAGGTTTTCCAGAGAATTCTCTGTCTTCCCTCTTTTCTTCTGTTGTTAAGTGTGAATCTTCCAAGTAGTTTATTGAGGTGTCAATGAAGTTAAATCCTTTAGTTGGTCACCTGAGCCACACAGGTAAAAGCAAGGACAGACTCTTTCCAGAGCCAAAATGGTTAAATTGCTGTTCCAGAACCAGTCCTGAGCAATCCTGGCTTCCCCTTCTTCCCCAACCTGTAGGGCTGAGTTCAGTTCTCGAAGAGAGATGAAATTCCTATATATTCTATATTGCACACAATAGGGTCATGATTTGCTCCTGAACTTGAATTAAGCTGTTAAGGGCAGTTTAAGACTGTCCTTGGCTGTGTTGTGAATTACAAGAAATCAGAAGCTTTTTAAGAGTGTAATTTGTCCCTGTTTCCACAAATTTTTTTTTGTTTGGCTTTGTCAATTTATAAAAGTAAGGAGCATGCATATTTATTTTACCTTAGTTTATTGACTTTCAAATCGCACTACTGAAAGTTAGTAATTATCATTTCCTCTTTACGCTAGCCTGGATAAAGTTGTTGCATTAAAATATGCTACCTGTATTTCGCTGTGAATGTAATCGGTGTCATTTGGGAAATGTGATGAGATATGCATAATTAAGTCTGACTTCTTATCACAGTTTGTTACCATCAAAAGCCTCCATAATAGATGCATTCAATAATACAGAGAGTATCTATTTACATATTACCTTGTGTTGCCTGACTATGGATGTCAGAAACGCAGGAAATTGAGACTCTGTACATCATGCCTTCTACGTCCCACTGTTTTGCAGCCCAGATATGCCAAAGGTTCTTCACAATAGCTCCCAGAGGATCACCTGCCTTAGGTACAAGAGCTGATTCAGTTTTCAGTGCAATTAATTGGCATCTTTGCCAAAAATTTCATATCCTGCACAGAGGGGTCTCCTGCTCAGTGTACTCAACCTTTTCCTCCTGCTACTTTTAGAAAAAGGGAAAAGGATATGTTAATAGAGAAAAGGCCTAACAGGCTTTAAGACTTCTTATTCTCCATGCTGTACCTGCATAGATTATGAGTAGCATTCCTTTTCAGGGACAGGAATTTCTTTTCATATAAGCCAAAGTAACTGGGTCCACACTTTTGTTACAGATGACTCATTAGTATTGATTCTGTTTGATAAATAGAGAGGAGATAGGCCGAGTAACAGTGAAGTACTGTACCTTGCTATTGATGCATACAGGGAGAAAACACAGAGAGGTAAAGCTTCTTCGTGAAGAAGGTGGTGGTGCCAGGAAGGTATACTTGAATGATTTCACGTAGTAAATTAAGGGCTGTAATGAGCAACTTCAAGTTTTTGTTTGTGATGCATTGAAAGTTGTGGTAATATGATGATAAAACAAAAAGAAACAAAACAATTTATTTTCTCTTTTCCAGTTTTGACCTTGTGGCTGTTGGAGGCATCTCTGTCACTCTAGTTTTTGACAGATCTCCTTTCTTATCTGAAAAAAGGACTCTTTGGTTGCCTTGGAATAGATTTGTCATCGTAGACAAAGTTGTAATGCAAAGAACAGAGTTGGACATGCCGTCTTGTGACATCAGTAGTTTTATCAGCCCAAATCCGATTGTACTTCCTTCACCCTTGACAGCATTTGGAGGGTCCTGTCCCGAAAGAGGAACCATTATTCCAGAACTACAGGTAATGAAAAGACTTTCAGATTAAGTTTGTTCAGTTGCAGAACAAGTTCTAGACAATTTTAGAAGCTGATACCGAATAGTGAGCAATTAACTGCTGTGATGTTATTCATTTGTCAGAATGACACCAATGCATATCTCTTTAGTGCTATTTCACAAGATGCTTTTTTCTTTTTTTCTTTGTTTATTTTTTGTTAATGTGTTAAGGTTTTTTATTTCTTACCTCCAAATAGAAGAAAGTGGGGAGTCCTAACATGATTTCTTATTGAAATCCTGATTTGTTTATAGTGATGCACAAAACCATTCCTAGGTTACAGATAAACGGTGCAACTTCCCCGTACATCAATGTGCGACATGACCCAAGGTGGTTTGAAGACTCCTAGGAATGTTTCATCCATTCACATCTTCTAGTTCTATGTCTTTTTTCTTGGCACTCCCTTAAGTGTTTAGAAGCAATTTCTAATTAACCTTGTTTTTAACTGTTCTTTTACTGGGGACAAGAGATTGTATGAGTCAAATATGCAACAGAATTTGACTACACAGGTTTCAGATCATGTTAACCTGCATGATTTTTAGTATGTTGTTTGAGCAGTTAAGAATTCAAGCAATAAGGCCTCTTTTGGGTTCTTTTTAAATTTCGTTGAGCAAGAGCAAGTCTGGACGGTATTTTGGAGGCTATCTGTAGACATCAATATTTCCAACCTTTTCTCTTTTTCTCATGAAATTGTTACTACTGATTAAGAACCTTTATTCTACATTTAAGAGACCTCTGATTGAACTCAATTATGTCTAAACGTCTCCATAACTATTAAAAACATTATTGTGTTTCAGCCAGTTGATGGCCATAGTGTTGCTTCACAGAATGTACTAGGTGAAACTAATGAACATAAATTAAGAATAACTGATGCACACTAGTGAGAAAAAACTGGGTCACACTACTCCACGTGAGGTATTCCTGGGTCTTCTGTAAACAGTGAGGTACCCAAAGATGCAGCCTACTCAGAGAGAAACTGCCCCAGTCCTTGTCTTTGTCATTGGAGGGTTCTTAGGGTGTTAAGGTTCATTGTACAGCACTGGGAATGCTACGAATGCTACAAAAAGTAGCCCAGAATAATAGGAGGAGAAGATACATTAGCATGTATTAATGCATGAATATTTCTTCCTGCTTTTCCATTACAAAATGAGAAGAGATGTCAGATGTATGACAGAGGGGGCAGCTGGGATGTTAAGAAGGGGAACACTGCAAATCAGGAGCAATAAAGGGAGCAGGATTTCCTTGGCAACACTACATTTCATATGTCGAAACGACAAGTGCTGGCAGGCCTCCAGCTGTACTGCAGCAATCCTATGACAGTGATACTGTTGCAATGTGTAAATAAAATTGTTTTGAAAGTGAAGTAATCTCTTGTTAAACAAGAAAAATTTCAAAACTGGGGAATATAAACAAAACAGTTTGTACTTTCCAAGCTTGATGAATTTAACATTGTGACAGGTTGGCTTGTTATTACGGAAATACACTAAAATCATTAACCTTATTAAGCACAGTCTAGCTTTCAGTGGCTTTTGAGTGACTGCAGTAGCATCCTCCAAGAAGCTGCTCTCTTCTCTTGCCTGCTCTTCCTCACAGTCTGGCCCAGAAGAGCTCCTTTTTCTTGGGAGATCACAAGAACTAAATCCCTTTTTGTAGCTCCAAGGCCCACATCATTCAAAAGGTCAAGGCCAAGTTTCTTTTTTTTTTTCCCTCACAAGGCTCGCAGTCTTTGCAGCCCTTCTGGTTGCTGAGGGCTTATCTTCATTGCAGCCAGGAACTGATACTACCCCACAGTGGGCATATCCAAGCCAGCTTTAATCCAAGTGATTCAGACAGCGGCACTGACAGCAGTGCCGTGGGATTTGAACTCTGTTGCACACCCCGGGGACTTACCTGTTAGCTAGATGACTCTGACGCCCAGACTGTTTCATCTTCACTGCCGTGTGTCCCCAGTTAGCTTGTTAGGTTCCTTATGCTGTGCCTTCGTATGCCGTGCCCCTTCTGGCTGGATCTTAGCCTTACTGCCAGCACTTCTGCACGGAAGATGGTTTAGCAGGAAGGTTCGTTTTCTTTCTTAACTCTCCCCAAGTTAGAGTTATTACCTACAATGCAGGACAGTATCTTTAAATCATAATGTAATATATAAAGTGTGTGTGTATTTAAAAAAAGCTTTTAATTGTATTCTGGTTGAGAGCACTTGTTAAGTAAACCAAATAATAAAGCCAAGGTAAAGCTGTAGAGCTCATATGTATGAATATGTCCACAGAGATAGTATTTGCTCCTCGGTAGATAAGAGGAAGGCGTTAGAGGAGAGGCTTTTTATCCAAATAGGCAGACTGCCATCCAGTAAGTTGACCAAGCAGTTGCCAGTGTTGGACATTTTGTAATATGCATGGCTACCACATTGCTGAAATAAACACAGAAGACATCAGTGTTTTAAATGGTGCTGTATTCACATCATGATTGTGAAATGTGAAATCAGCACCTGCTGTTGTTGTTACACTTTTGCATTTTTCATGGCTATAGATATAATGATGTGGTTTTTTTCCAAGGTGGTCCAAGAAGAAATCCCAATTCCTTCGAGTTTTGTGAAGCTGAGTTATCTCAGCAGTCGAACACCAGGGTATAAAACTTTGCTGCGCATTATTTTGACACACACAACCATCCCTTCTGGAATGACAAAAGTCCATCTGATAGTTGCTGTTGAAGGACGTCTGCTTCAGAAATGGTTTCCTGCTGCAGCGAATTTGGTATACACATTTGCCTGGAATAAGACAGATATATATGGACAGAAGGTTTCTGGTCTGGCCGAGGCGATGGGTATGTAGAATCACCTTGATGTGAGCAGAAGCGCTCGTACACATCAAGCCAGGAAAATACGGCTTATAAATTTTGTTGCTGCCCTTATGTTCTTTTAAGTCAAATGCCTCTTTAGCTAAAGTGACTTGTATGGTTTCCTAAGAACATTTATTTTCTTGTTCTTCCAATGTCATCTTTCTAATTTAATCAATTTGAAAATCCCCTTTTCCCTTGGAGATTGGTTATGTACTAACGGCATTATATTCAGCTGTCTTCGTTTTTGAATGTTACTTTGAATATGACCTTTGGTGTGTCATTGCTTCTGTCATTTTTTGGCTGTGACATTTAAAATGTCATTTCCACTTAGAGTTTACAAAATTCTAACTTTTAGGCATCCTTTCTTACTACATTTCACATCCCCAACAGTTAAAACCAATTGATTTGTTGTTTAAAGATGTTTGTACGAAAATCACCATGTTTCATAGGCTTTCTTTACCAAGTAGCACAAGCAGCTATTTTGAGAATTGCTACAGAAGTGCTATCTGTGCAAATACATTTTATTTAGCCATCCATTTTTTTCATTAATTTCATAATTTGGTTTTTAAAAGGCTTGCCATTTTTTTAATTGAATTTGGGGTTATATTGCTTAATGGACTAATCTTACAGATACTTTCCATTAAGATTATTTAACTTACCAGCAAAGCTTAGTATTGTGAATAAGCCCTATTCACTTCCTTAGCAGTTTTGTTTTGCTTTTTAAGTCAGGGGAATTATAGCATGCAGCATTGGCAGGGTCAGGCTATGAAACAAGAACAGCAAGGGCTACATGAAGCCATGTACCCCCATGAGGAATATGCCTTGTTCTGTATATGAAAATGCTGTTCTGAGGGGCAGCCAGAAGCTCTCTTCAGGATCTGCAGTGTAGTCCATGCAGGCAGCGTGCCTGCAAATGGGCCCATGCAAAGCCAAAAGGTGCCATCCAAGCTATGCAAGCCCTGCAACTCCCAGAGCATGGAGTGCGTGACTGTGTTGTCATGTGCTCCCAGCCAGGTGGTCTGCGAGGCAGCTGCATGGAGAGGAGATGGGAGAAAGGAGGATATAGCACTTTCCTAGTCATTTCTACTTAGAGAATGATGCAGACATAACCACTGGTGTCCACAAAGGGTTATGAGACCAAAATATGCAGTATGATTTACATCACATGATGCACATAGGAATAGACCAGAAAAGGAGGAGCTGCTCCCACTGTCTGCTTCAACAGATACAACTGCAGGCTGCTGCCAGGAAGGACGTTCCCACGTTCTCTCCTTACCCTGGGCCACCATTCACATTCATTTGATCATGAAATGAGCCAGATCAGGAACAAATTCAGCTGAAAACTGAAGCAACCAGGAAATAAGTGATAAATTTTCAGCTTCATTAGTTTCCTGATCTGCTATGAATGCTAGTGCAGAAGCGCAGCTTCTTCTCATTCCAGCCGTAGCTCACACATTACATTGACCTAAAGTGATCAAAACTCCACCCTTGGCGCAAAGTCTCCTGAACTGCTGCATCATGTATCATGTCTGCAGCTGATCTGCCACATCTGGCTCACGTCTGCAGAAGGGTGGACAACTTGTCGAAGGGGTCAGTCAGGTGCTGGCACTGACACCAGTGAGGAGTCTGAACATCCCAGGTATGGTGGGGAGCAGGAGTGCCCTTTTCAGCCCATCTGGCTCATGAAACCTCCTTGTTAGGGGACAAATCTAGCCCTAGCCCATTGCAGATACAGATTCCTGCTAGCATTTTTGCAGTGAGGGAAGGTATTCAATGGGTTGTTGACTTCATTTACACATATTTGTGTAAATTCAGAAATGAAGAAAAATCCCAGTGTGCCCATGGGGGATCAGGCAGGACCAGACGGGTTATGGGTGCCACCTGGGGCGTTCCTAGGCAGGGCTACGCGTGCCCTGTATTCAGAGTCTGTCACTGCATGTTATCACTAACGTGCTTGAGAGGGAACAGTTGAGTATGCCTGCTCCCTCTGCATCATTTAAGAGTCTTCTGGTGATCATGAAGTCCAGTAGGTATCTGGACTTTTTAAAACAATTTAAATCAAATACGTAACATCTTATGAAATGATACTGTAGTTACAGATTCCCAAATTAGAAGTAGATGAGCATAGTATGTTTAAATATGAATAAAGATTATGCAATAGTGCTAGATAACAACTTTTAAATTATTTAATTGGTGCTTAATTTTTTTCTTTAAAGTTTAGTTCAATTATCCTTCTTTCAAAAACAGAAGCAAAAATCTTTATATTTTAAGCACATTGTTAGCATGCTTTGTTAGAGTCCAATACAGCTTTATTTAATTTGACACACTGTAGTACTCAGGGACCTTTATCTGCATCCATTATATGAATTTTTGTCAAAATAATTTCCTCTGCCAGTATATTACCAATATTTAATAATGCATTTTGTTCAGTTTTCATTTCAATTAAATTAAATTGCAGCAGGTTGAAGTCCTGGAACTCAGGAATATAACCATCTGCTTTTGGTTTTATAAATACTATAAACATCTTTATTTTTCTTCAGGGTTATTGACAGCAATGATCACATAACCAATTACAGAAAAGAAGACTTTCTGAGCATATTTCCACACACAAGGGGTTCTGTTTAAATTTGTTGGAGAAATGTTTACTGGTGTTTGTCTAGTCCCCAAGTCCCTAACAAGAGGCCATTTTCTCTTCTCAGAGTAACAACTGAGATGTTAAAGTAGCATTTTTTTTTGTTCTGAATGAAAAAACATCATGTGGATGTTGACACACAAAACCTTGGTGGTAAAGTCTACATCCCCTTCTAATTTAACATAGGAAAAGGAAGGATTTCAGTAGAAACCCTCAATAAATGCTCATGTATCACTCCATCCATGCTCAGTCTTATTCCTGCAAGCCCTTGCATCCCACACAGCAGCATGAAGTGGTGTGCAAGGACTGACCGTTCTGGGTGTGAATATAACCAGCTCTCGAGCAGGCTTAGGTCTTCTCTGTCTGTTACCCTACTTGTTACTTTGGTTGAGCTCATTATATTCGTTGTTCAAAGTAAGATGCTGATAAGTACAAATATTTCAGGAGAGGTTGAAGCAGAGCTTACTGCCCTGTTTGATAGTCTCTTGTATGTCTTGTATTTTGGCAACAGCCCTTAAACTGTGATAGGTTGGCACTACTAACAAATTATTGTTCATTCTTCTAAATAGTTGTATGAAAAGAATAGATTTTTGGTACCGGTGATTTCAGTAAATCTTTTTAAATCTATTTTGAGACTGCAAAGAACAGTACTTGCTGGCTATTAGTGTCCAAAAACAGTCACTACAGTTCTCCTTCATGCAATGAAATCTCGGTCACCTCAGGAAAGGGCTACGAATTAACTTGACCAGAAAGTAACACCCCCACAATGAGGGTAAGCTGACTGAGATTGCCATTTTGCTTACAAAATTACATTTTGCAAAACCTGCCAGTAACAAAATAACTATTATTTTTCAAGTGACACTGCAGTCACTTGGTTGACTTTACAGTCGTTATGCTTTGCCTTGATTACTTTGCATGCAAAACAACTGATAGGAAATTTTCAAGGGTGATAGATCAGTATCTCCAATTAGATGGTTCAGGAGACCCTGCTTTAAGATCAGATACTCCTTTTTTGGAGCATAGACTTCTTTCATAAATATGTGTAAGTATACATAGAAACATCGTTGTAGACACACATGAAGTGAGTGTATGTCTGTCCACATGTCTGTCACGGATGAGAAGGGACAAAAAGGCAGCTGTGGACAATAACTGTGAGGGCAGGGAACGGTGAACTTCTAAGAAAGGGGATGATAACCTCTAGAGGGTATTTGGCAGCTCAGAAACATCAGCTATAGGCAGGGAATAGCGGCAGACACTTTACAGTGTTAGCTACGGCCCTGGTAAATATGCCACTGTGGATCCATTAGCACAGATTCTCAGCTGGTGTAAATCCTTATACCTCCCTTGACCCAGATACCAGCATGGTACCTTACAGCAGCTGATGGACTGTCCTGTGGGTGTCTAATGATTCACTGAGCAAAGCTGAGTGACGTTGTATTACAGGTCTTTACTCTTTTCAAGTATACACATCTGACCCAGGATTGAACACGTTAAGGGGCTGAATGGAGTAAAGATGCTAATGTGTAGGTGGCAAGTGTGAGGTGGCTTCATAGGAAAAATCTGCCCTTTATCTTCTCTGCATTAACACCTAGAAAATGGCATGTTCGGTTACTGAACCTTGATGGCTCATCCCAGCTTGGGACGGGGCTGTTCTGGAAGAAGCTCCATGCCCACAGCTGGGCACTCGGCCCAGGGAGTTACCCAGAAATGTTACCGATGTTAGTCATGAGAGCTCCTGTAGCAGAAAAATTGGACAGGGAGGCTGCTAGACCCTCAGACTGAAACCTATAACGTTTGAAACGTGCAATATTTACAGTACTTAAGGAGATGTGATTTTTACGAGTCAGAGTTTAGCTGCAAAAACAGGTTCTTTCTGCTAAAATGATGAAGCAGCTCTAAGTGAAGTTGCTGTAAGGAACAGCTTTCAGTTTGCCAAAAAACATTTATCTTGCAAACACAAATGCTCCCTGCTATAGCTGGTCAAAATATTTTGATTGCATCCAGTAATGGAATTTAGATGGTATTAAAACTACTTATGGTTCAAGTAAAATGTACCTAAAGCTGCTACATAGAAAAAGTGAGAAGAAATATTGAAAGTGTCAGAAAAGTATGGGGTTTAAATTTTTTTTTATATATTTTGTCTCTTAAAATATTTTTAAAGACATTTTCATTTGGGAAAAGCTGAACTATCTCAGTATTTCCTAGACCAAATTTTGAGATTTGGTGTCAAAATAGCATTTTTGCTTTATGGATGAGTTGCACTGAAATCTAAAAGTGTTAAATAGAGGAGATAAATAACTTTAAAAACAAAAAAAAAGGTTCATACATTATGTCATTATTAGAGATACCAAAATTAGGTTTTGAAGAGGGTTTTTTTTTTGTTTTACTGAAGTACTAAATGGAAGGGGTTCTGGTCCATTTGAGCACCCCCAAAAACCACCATGCTTAGGGAAATTCAAAATTTTCAGCAGGTATTTTGGCCAGCTGTGGAGGGGAGCCATATGATGTGCAAGGCTGTTAAGGTAAATGTTTAATTCTAGAAATCTTCAGCTTCGCAATCCATTTCTGCCTAACTACAATTTTTACAATTAACAAGGAAAATAAAACCAGTTTCTTTTAACATGGATTTTTTTTTTCCTATTTAAGCTGTTATTCAGATAATTAGCAAAAGTACAATAAACAATCAAGTCAGGAGTCACTGGAGGAGATTTATACTCTTAAGAAATACATAACTGATAGAACAGAAAATTTTCTGCTTTGAAACAGTAGTAACTATAGCTGTAATAACCTACTAATCTCTTAAAATCCTTTTTAGAAAAAATGCTATTCAACAATAGCAATCAGGCAGAGGAAAATTAGTGGCGTCATTACTTGAGAGATGAATATCAAAACCTGGAATGAAAAATTATCTAGTAGTTCACAGAGGAAAAGGTAGACTGATAGATCTTTAATTATTTGTTTGCAGTGTCAGTGGGATATGAATATGAAACATGTCCTGATTTTATTCTGTGGGAGAAGAGAACAGTAATCCTTCAAGGCTTTGAAATGGATGCTTCAAATCTGGGAGGCTGGTCTATAAACAAGCACCATGTATTAAATCCACAAAGTGGTAAGTCCTTCCTTTATTAACTGGCCATGCAGAAGAAGAATACAAATTTTAAAGGAATTAATTGTTCAGATTTTAAGCGTTACGCTTCCTAGTGTGTAATCCTCTTTGAATGTGCACCCTCATTTATTGAGAACTGAACTGTAAATGCCATCTGAAAGGATATTTTTAATGTTCTGCCTCCCAGGTATTAAACATTAATATCACTAACTCTGCAATCGCTAACACCTTGTGGTCATTTGGTTGGGAAAAGGGCATACTAATTTAGGTTCGTTCTCACACTGTTGGTATAGAAGTACCATATTTTAGGTCAGTTTATAGTGCATTATATTCTCAATGAAGTGTCTACACCCCTAATTCATCCTATGACTAGCATCAGTTAGTAGCATCACAGCACCAAGGAGACAAACTGTGCATGAAAACAGACCAGCTGAGTGAGAGGTAGCACTTCCAAAACCACGCTGCCGGTGCGGTATGCAGAAGCTTTTGTAGCTGCCCACTCTGCGGAGAAGCACAGTAAGCTATTCTTCAGAACAATCAACCCAATACCTTTCAAAGCATTAGGAAAAAAAAATGAAAAAAATGTAAATGCTTTCAGTGTCATAACATTAACCCTGCAGAGATTGTTCAAGCATGGAGACTTGAATCTGTTTTCTCATTGCTTTTTTGTTCCTGGGGGTTTTTCTTTTCCTCCCTTAGCGTTTATAATCAGGAACTAGTGGGATCAAATTATTAAAACAATACTTGTAGATAAATTATAGTAACTAGAAAAATATGGTTTTGCCAATAAACAGATATTTCACTGTCCAGGGGAGGAGAAACTTGGGGTCAGATTTCAGCACTTATAAATCAGCAGAGTATTGGATTCAGTAAAGTTCTCTCAATTTGCTCCAGCTGAGAGTCTGTCCACTAAAATCTATTTCCATCTGCAAACTTCTGTTAATGAAGATTCATGCACAGATGTATGGCTGTCAGGTTTTTACAAGTTCTGTTGTTGAATGCGTGGCTACAGTATAAATATTCCAAATACAAAAGGTCAGATTTAGTTTGTAAATTATCTGGATTTCTGTTTTGATTTAAAATAGTTTGACATTTTAAACAGCAGATCTTTCATACCCTGTCTTATTGGTTTGTATAGATTGTCTCTTTTAAATGCCAGCTATTGACATTTAACACAAAGAGAAATCTGACCTCAGTCAGCTCAGCCCCCAACTGTGAGCCCCATAGTCTACTCCTTAGTGCCAATTTACCACTTGCATAGTTTAATTTCAAGACTAAATTGCTGGCAGTAACTCCAATTTATATGACTATCTGCTAACTGCAGTGGTTACTACTATAATTCACCCCATAGGCACTAACATGTTTTGAGATTTTGTAAAGTATACAATTATAATCTGAGAAGGGCTAAATCATTGCTTTCCTGAGCCCAGGGTACATGGTGACAGATTGCTTCCTGGCCCCGTCTCAGCTGCGTGCAGAGAGCACTGACCTGTCAGCCACATGCCACCTCCTCTGAAATCGTCCTGGCCATGTCCGCTACCCCAGCCCCATAACAAAGGTGGGGAATGCGAAGCTTCTTGTACCTGCTCCTCTTCCTCGCATGTTCCCACTGTGCTGGGCACAATCAAGGCCGAAGTCAGGGGTGAAGCTGCTAAACATCTTTATTACTTACAGAGACACAATGTGGGGAGGGCGTAAGTGCATCTGACTTGAAATCAGCGGCTCTGTCCTGTTCACAGTTCTCATGTGAGAGCATCTGGAGTGAGGAGCACAAAGCCCAGCCAGAGCTCAACGATGTCTCAGATGTTCCTCATGATTATAATAGGCTTTGAGCATGCACACCTGGCTCATATATAGAAACTAGAAAAGCAGTTAGGAGCAGAAAAACGATGACTATACCATAGCTAGTGCACACCTAACAGCCTAACGAGCCTGTAGGCTCATATTAAAGCAATGAAACCAAATAATGAACTGTGTTAACCAGAAGGATAAAAATAATGAGCATGCTTCTGGTCTTACCTAGAAACTAGTGAATTGCTCTTCCATGTCAGATATATAAAATGTACTTTAAATAAGGACAAGACTATGATTCAAACTTAGAATTATGTATTTCAGACTTACCTCCATGCCACCATGAGTGAAATGAAAAGCGTGAATAGCCTTCTTCAGTATGAATATATTGGGATTTTTCACTTTTAATTAAAGCATTCCCTCTGTATGTATGAAGAGCTGCTCTTTTTAGAACCATGAAACCTGCATCTGTTTTTGAAACACTGTCACTGGATTAACTACAGAAGTAGCGTTGGAATATAACATAAATGTCTTTCGAAAAATTCTCCATTGCAAATTTCAATTTTGTTTTCAAACTAAAACTAGAAGGACTTTACTTGGTTAGTTAACTAGTCCTGAAGAGCTTATATCTAACTTCAGCCACTAAGCCTTGTCTTCCAGCAGCTCTGCTGCTGTGCACAACATTCCTACTCAGAGACAGGGTGGATATGCTTACCTCCCTCCCCATAAAGGCTAGTTTATTTTGTAACATCTCTAAAATAAGTAAGTACAACAGAAAAGTTGTAAAAATAAATAGATGCAATTTTACAGAATTGCACTTCATAGCACAGTCCTTAGACTGTGGGAGGTACAAGTATTGACATGCAGGAACCACAGCAAGTAAAAACTGTGTTCTGTTGCCAGATGTAAGTAGCTTTTAAAAAAAAAAAAAAAAAAGAAAGAAAAAGAAAAAAAATATGTCCAATTCCAGCAGCATAGTTGTGAAATAACATATATTGTTCCAATGTGGCTGTCACTGGAAACTCAAAGCTTTTTAAATGTGTGGTTTTGCATCAATATGACTGTTAGGTTAACAAAGGATCGCATCCTGTTCTCAGCTGTACTAAACTGTTCTTTTCCCACTTTTTTTTCCCCTCCAGTTTATAGGTTTGATCACTGGTAATTCGTGACATGATTAGATTTTAATGTTCTCTAACACAAAGGTTTTGGTCAATTTGGAAGATCTTCAGGGCATTTCTCATAATCAAGAAGAGAAGTCATACCATAAATACTAGTTCCTGTATAGAGTCCTTTTAAAGACACCTATATCTCATGCTTACAAATGAATGTACCATTAACCAATTTTTCAGAGTATTCTTTGAATTAGATTTTTCTTCTGATTGGCAGGTATATTGATTCCATTTTTATTTATCTGGGGGAATGAGTAATTTTATAGGGACTTGATGCTTTAAGGTAATTTCAGCCCCAGTGCAACACAGCATCAACTAAAATTAAAGCAGCAGCTCGAAAATCTGATATTAAGCACATGCTTACATTTATTGACAGCAAAACGTATTCTCCAGAGCCCTAATTATTTACTGGCCTTTATATAAGGCAGTTGAAAGAGTACCTTTACATTGTTAATTTCAGACAAAGGGAAGCATCTTCATTTAGCAGTATTTTTATCCGGGCGTAAGGGAGGATATTGCCATTAATTTTACTGGCATGTTTCCAAGATGTTTTTTTTAAGCCAACGTTCAAATGTATGTATTGTCCTCTATTGTTCAGAAATAAATTTTTTAAAATATAATTCCGTTCAAAATAGCTATGGCAACACTTAGTAGTTTCCAAGGAGAGTTTTAGTTTTAGACTTACCTGAAAGCCACAAAAAAAATAGTTTAACAGAAGTTGGTAGAGAGGGTACATAAATACATTTGCCATACTTTGGGAAAACTCGGACGTGTCTCAACATGTCCTGCCTGCAGTATCTAGAATCTGCTCATTTCCCAGTGTAAGAGTCCTCCAGAAAGTACATTCCCTTGTGTTTATTCCTTTGTTCGTGCCACTTTTCTGAAGTACTGGGCTTTCCAAGGCAAAGAAGAGATTTTGGACTGTGATCTAAAAGAATACCTGTCTTCCGTTCAGAAATAGCCCAAATCTTACAACAGCATGTCATTTTAAAGGTACTTCTTAACTATATTACCACATTGTTATTTAAAAGAAACACTAAAGCTATCAGCTTGAGAAAATACATCTTTGTACTAGTTCTGGTATCACCAACCTAGTAACTGGGAAGACTTTCAACAATGTGTGTTGCAGAGCAGTACTAAAATAATGACACTGGAAAGTTGTTCTAAACTTTATGGCAGAACTTAATATATTCTTGCTGGTAAGACATTCATTTGTGCCTCAGAATTACTCCTTGACTCTTAACTTGGCTTTGCTGCAATTGGCACCATTTTTATATACCATGAAGGATTCGCATTTAAGTTTGAATATTGATTTTGTACTGCCACTCAGTGCTCTTTTGTGAAAAATGCGTCGTAGTGCTGCTATTAATCTCCGTTAATTAAATATTCAAACTGCCTAAGAAATTCCTCTGCTACCTAATAAAAATTTATGAGTAAAATGAATATTAAAGTAGTAATCCCCAAGAAATCAGATAGCACTGCAATTAACGGTCAATTTGTTAGAGCATTAACCAACCATGAGTTCTGCTCATGATGTTGGCTTTTAAAATAGCCACTAACCACTAATCGACAAAATGGTGATGGTGAAGCTTGGGACTGAACAAAATGGGAAGAGATTAGTGGAACCCTGTGACAGTCTTTAAAAGATCCAATGTTTGTTGGTGTTCCGGTAATCTGGTTTCTAGAGGATTGCATAATCCAAAACTGCAGAATAGTTTAAATGCTATACATTTGCTTTTTTTGTCTCTGTTTTCTTCCCTGCCTCCCCTTAGGAATTGTACACAAAGGAAACGGTGAAAACATGTTCATTTCCCAGCAGCCACCAGTCATCTCAACCGTAATGGGCAATGGACACCAGAGAAGTGTCTCTTGTTCCAACTGCAATGGTCTTGCGCTCAACAGCAAACTGTTTGCCCCAGTTGCTCTTGCTTCTGGGCCTGATGGTAGTGTGTATATTGGGGACTTCAATTTTGTCAGACGGATCTTTCCCTCTGGAAACTCGATTGGCATATTAGAATTAAGGTAAAAAAATAATTAGCTTTCTCTGCTTAGTGTTCATAATCCTGGTTGTGATATGCCTATGAAAACTACAGTGAGCCTTTTTTTCCCTTGGGACTTAAAGAAGCAGCCACATTTAGTTGCCTTGTGAGCACATCTCATCAACTGTCAAACAAACTCATCAGAAAACTTACGCTTACTTTAAAGTCATCAGTTTAAAAGGGCATCTTAAGTGGCCTTTAGAACAGGTTTTGCATAATGAATTTCTACAAAGTACAGAATTAATAAAGCTAATTTTTGTTCCTGCAAGATTTTTCATAGATTTTCTCAAAAATTTAAAATATTCCATGAAGCTTATTTTTGAGGAAAACCCCATAACTCAATAGCAAATATGCAGATTATCAAGTCACAGCATTGTGGCTGAAGGTAGACTTAGCATGTTTAAAATTAACACAATTAAATTGGTGCTCATCTGTAACAAAGGATGTGACTGAGTTTAAGCGGACAAGAGCAAACCTGGCCTTGCAGTCTGATGTGTCACAGGCTGGGCCTGTGCTACCGTTAACGACTCCCCTGGAATTACAACTCCAGCTTTCCATTCCCTTTCAGGGCCAGAGGGGAAGGCAGGAAAGATTTCGGACACTGATACACTAAATATCTCTTACTTAATACCCATGAATCTCCAACTAGCTAGCATTGCTGGTGGTGATGTTGTGTGCTGTTTGTTCAGAATTAACTTGACAATGTGCAGGAAGCAGTTTGAGAGAAAGAAATAATCCTGAGTAACAGGATAAACAATGTTTTGTTATTGGGATACAGCTCTGTGAGCAGTCAGGCAAAGAATGCAGTTTTGTTGCAGACTAACATTTTTTGTCTTTTTCCTTTTTTTTTTTTTTTTTAAAAAACCTGAACCAATCTGTCTTGCTAGGAATAGAGACACAAGACACAGGTAAGTAAAACACAGTAACAGTAATATGTGAACTATGTTCAAGGAAACAGTCTTACAAAATTCCTTTTAGAAGTCTGGATATGGAGAAACACTCTGAATTTAATAAATACAAATGTTAATAAAATTCACCTTTGTTTATAGTAAAGTAGGTTTGATTTGTTCCTTTTGAAGGAATGAAGTCACCCTCTAAAAATCAGTTTGCTGATCACCAAGCAGAGATGGAGAGGTTTAAACCCAAAAGCCAGGAATGCATTTCATAGCTGTCATATTCATTTCACATGGTGTTTGAATGATCGGAGATACAGCCAGCCAAGGAAACTAGAGTTTTAGCAACAAAGAAATAATAAAAAAGGCTTCAGAGTCACACAAGAGGACTACACTTTAGCCGTTCTAGGATACTACAAACTTTAAAATTTGCCACAGTTACAGAGGGTGCACAGCAGACCCCAGAACTGAGGATGCTGTGTCACAGCTCTGTCCAGCTAAAGTGGCTTCCCCCACTTCCAGTTAGCATTTTGGCATTGCAGTGTAGGAATTTCTTTAAAAGAATGAACGTTGCACATTAGGCTTCTGCAACAGACGGTGAGGGAGTTGGTTATAACAATCCAGCTGCAGAAATTATGTTGCATGCTAGAAAGAGATAGCAAGGCACTCGGTATCCTTAGAAACAAACTTCTTAGCGTTTCAGTACTTAAATGAGATAAATAAACCATCACTACTACAACTTAAGCTGGTAACTTCATGGCATAGTAGCAAGTGGAGTGTAGACTGAACATGTGTTTGCAGGATGAGAGTACTGGTTGGAATTACTCACTTTAGCCATGAGAATGCTATTGAATACTATAAATTATTTGCCAGCCTACTTACAGATGATGTTACATCTCATATATTTTACAATGAAAACTTTAAAAGGGAAGACTACCACCTAGTTGGTAAGTACAAGGTTCTGTTTTTCAATTGAAGCATTGTTTCCATTTGCTTTAAACTGACCAGTATCTTTGTAAGCTAAGAAAAGCAGCGAATTGAACTTATTTACTCTGTAATGCATTCAGAACATGAATCAGGTTTTAAATTCAGGGGTTTCTTTTGTAAAGTAGAATTTTTTTAATACCTGCTCACTAGTACGAGTTTCTTGAGATGAGCTTAAACCTTAATTAAATCAAGTTGTGACAATACTCAAGTACCCCAGCCCTATTAATTACAATAATAGTTGCCTCTGTCAGTATTCTGTCCAAGTAAAATCTGTGGAAAGTTGGAGGAAATCACTTGAAGTTAATGTAGTCTTTGATGTTATGGGGAATTACACTGTACACCATTCTCTTGAGGCTGTAAAGGCCATAGTCATGGTTGAAATTTCTGGGACGCTCAAAGAAACATGTGGAAGGAACAACTGAAAGGTGTCAGAGGCTCATAACAGTCCAGGCAGGAAAAGGCTTCAAAATCCAATTCCTCAACACAACTTTTACTGTACAAAAGAACAGGGAAAAATGGTTCTTTTTACCAGGACAAAGAAAATATTGTGTAAAAAGGGATAGAGTTTGGAGACTAGTAATCGGAGAAGGCCACTGATCTTATTTTTGACTGTTTAAAAAGAACTTATCCCATTTGTTTCTCTTGTCATCAAGATTTTAGTAAGATATAGGAAAGCTGTTTAATAACTGGAAACTAGGCTTTGAGGTTGCAAGGAAGAATTTTACTACAAGATAGTAGGAACTTGTTATGGAAAGATTCATTGTAAATCCTTCTCTACTTGACATAGTTTTTAATAGGTTAATTTAAGTAAACTCAGATTTAGATTTAATTGCAAACTTCTGCAAAAGTAGCAAGTATTTTATTTTGTTCCATTTTTTACTAATACTCTTTAAATTTAAAGATTTTTAGAATGCAAGGCTTTAAGCGTAAACATCAAGAGTTTTCTAACAAACAGCCAGTCTATTAAATGTAACAACAAGGATGACAGAAAATGTGTCTACAAGGAGAGTATATAACGACCCCTGGTTCACTGCAATTTCTGCATGATGAACCACATGTTTATTTAACATCTAGAATTCTCCTTGCAACTTTTTCTGCAGAAGTAATTTATTAAAAATTCATCTTTTGGCTGGCCAGTCTCTTCTGAGCTCGCTGCAGAGAGCACAAATGATTCTTAATGTTTTCAACAGATAAAATTTTATAATACTGGTGATACATAATTTGGCATTAATTGCCTTTAGCTCATCTTCTTACTCATCTTTCGTCAGACCATTGTCCTCTTATTCACTATGTTTCCTTGGACTGGGTTTCACATCTGTTCCCCGTCTGTGGGAATACCTACTTCCTTATATTTCCCCCTTCTGTCTTTCATAGACATTTATGACTAAAGTCAGCTTTAAGCTAGTCTAGGTTGTGGCCTAATCCTCAGAGATGCTGAGTAGTTTCTGTCCCTTTTTGGATGGGGAATGAGAACTGAGAGAAATAGGCCCAAGCTCTCTCACATTTATCATAGTACAGCATTAGCCTTATCACTTAAAAATGGAACTAAGATGTCAGCTGATCATCTGTTAGAAGTTTCTTAGCAATATACAGAGTACTCAGTAGATTGCTAAAATAAAAGCTATTGGTAAGTAATTTTTCCATTGTTTTGCAACATTGCTCAGCAAGGTAGAACTGTCTAATAGGTGATTATAAAGCTTAGTATCTGCCTCAGCCAAGCAAAAACTTCATATTTAAAGCGGCTCCATCAACCTGAAATCAGGTCAGTAAAATAAGTCAGTATCATCTCAGACATTGTATATCTGTCCTGGAGCTTCTGCCAGTTCTATTTTATCGAGGTTCTTCCCTTCCTGCTGCATTGTGGCGTGAAAACCCGGCCCTACAGAAGGAGCTGTACACCAAGTGTTGTCAAACTCACCACAAACAGAACTGAGAAAGCTGAGAGGAGTAATTCACTTCCTAACTTTGTTGCAGCAATACTAAGTGTTAGCTAATTGTACCAATGTTAATCAAATGTCTCTAACAAAAAAATGGGAATTGGACAATCTTTTTAATCTGTAGGGCAGATTAAGGAAAGTCCCGTGTCAAGTTAGAGAGGAGGCAGGCGGGTCAGTGCCTAGCCCAGCCACCTGGCAGAAATCTTCTCCTCCCCCCAGAAACATAGCAGTGATAAAAATACTGTCTGAGCACCTAAATGCTCTGCCAGGCGTTGGCCACCACTCTGCCTGTGCCTACCTCCCACCACTTCAGTATCCGACTGTGTGGTTTAAAGGATCTACACCTATCTGAATTTTTATTTTCTAATCAGGACTACACTGCAGTCTCACCAGGGACACCAGTGTGGTGTGCCATGTGGTTAGACAATCTCCTCAAACTGGAAGTTAACTTTGCACTGAAAAAGAAGTAAAAAGTCTTGCTGGTTAATAAGATGCAGCCCAGTTCTCCGATTAGAATTTATGATCCTCACCATTTAATTAACATATGTAAATATTTTTAAATAACGTTTTATAATCTCAATAAGGCACTTCAGTGCATGAATTATGGTGCATTAATTCATGCCTAGTTGCACTGTCAGTACTTGGCCTTCTGCCTTGCTCCTGACAATACAGTCGGCATGAATTAAGGCACCATATTTCACACCTTCATATTTCCTAAGGTTTAGAAACAGATAAAAATAACCAAGAGTGGGTATTTGTGCCCATGCAGAACAGTCTGTGATTCACTTTGCTGCAACTCGCAGATTTGTTTTCAGTGCCAAGAGTACTAGGACTTACCACGTATAGAAAAATGACCTTGCTTTTGATAGTAATAACTATAACTCAGCTGAAGTCACTCCGGTTAGCTTTATACTGGGTGGCTTGGTACTGATGGACAGACTAACTCCACCAATACTGCTTTCTGCGTAAGCTCGCTCATACGTAGCTGGCTGGTCAGGCTCTGCAGCCAGTACTAGTTCCTTCCTTCTCAGCAGTGGTGCTTGCATGAGCTACATTAAAGCTGGTCTCGCTTATGCCTCTGTCATCTCCAAATCATTGAGCAGATGTCTTCAGATAAGTAGAATACAATTGTTATGCTGCCACGAACAGAGATTAAAAACAAAAACAATTTAACTTTGATGCTCTTCTCTTCTATTTTAGTACAAGCCCTGCACATAAATATTACTTGGCTGTTGATCCAGTGTCAGAATCCCTTTACTTGTCAGATACCAACACCAGAAAAGTCTACAAAGCAAAATCTCTCATTGAAACAAAGGATCTGGCCAAAAATGCAGACGTGGTGGCAGGAACAGGTGATCAGTGCCTTCCATTTGACCAGAGTCACTGTGGAGATGGCGGAAAAGCGTCTGAGGCCTCTCTCAACAGTCCAAGAGGTAAGAAAAGAGCATATCTGAAGTACTTGGTGTTGGTCATCTGTCATTTCCTTCCATTATTTAGAAACTCAGATGCAACTGGATGTACAAAATTGGGTCTGAGGTGATGATTTAACCAACTATAAGCAAGCCAAATAATTTCATAAAGCTTACTCAAGTTTTTAATACCACCAGTCCTTTGAGGGAGTAGCACAAGCAGCAGGCTCCAGCTAGCATTCTCTGAAATACCCTTTCCTTGTGTGGCAACACTCCTCTTTTATTACCTTTCAATTGCAAGGTGGCAGCATTTAATTATATTTAACTTTTAAGCAAATAATATGGTTGCAAAGTCCATTTTTTAGATTTTATGCATTCAGGTGATTCTTCTAATGTTAATGGGGCTTACTCATACCTATTAGTCAGGGCTATTCAAATCAGCCAGCAAAATCAACTTTATTTGGAACTCTAGTTTGTCCTTCTTTATTAAATGCACTTTGCAAAATATGAGCATCTCACCTACTGCACATGAAATAAACATTTTGCTGCAGCCTTCCTGTCAGAGTACATCCTGTATTGTCACAGGCAAAATGCGCATGAAGCCTTGAATCCCCACCAGTGCCACAGTTAATCCCCTTGCAGTGTGCATTAGAACTGTGATAAAGTCTCTGGATTTGGTGCTCTAAAGCAGCTGATCACCCTCAATTCCCACAGAAATCCCTGGAACAAAGGGTACTCAGCAGCTCCCATGGCAGAGCCCCAAGTGGGCTTCTAGCATGCTTCCCTTGTCGCACACTGCTCCCTCCTAACAACTAGCTCCAAGGAAGGGTTTTGATTATTTTTCGTGAGCTAATAAAGGCAGGCTGTGTATCAGTAGGAAATTAGAATGTATATCCAGGCAGAAACATCTCTAAGACAAGCAAATAATCCTGTTTTAGGGCTTAGCAAGAGACACATTGTAATTATAGAGTTACTTTAACGTGTCTTTAATGATAGAAGGTAAGTGTGAGGTAAGTACAAATAAGTGTTAATCTTCAGGCAGCTAATTAATGTAATGAATCAATTCTAAAAATAGTAGACAACAAAGGTTTTCGGATCCTTTAGCAGGAAAATGATCAATGTTTTATTGCTGATTACAATTGATTATATCTAATTACAGTACAATTAGTTGTTCCATCTTATTTTCTTATTGGGGAAGTATGTTGGTGAAAATTTGTAATGTGCTATTTACTTAAATATCCATGCATAGCTGGCTTCCTTAACAGAAGGTTCTATTCTTAAAGAAATTAAGAGGAATAAAAGCACAGTTTCATGAGTTCTGGGGCAGCCAGCAAATATTAAAAAAATTAACTGTTAGCAGACATTGACAAATTCAAGTAATGGCTCCCACCTACTTTTGATTTATGCATCTACTCTAAATTACATCAATTTGAAATTCTCAGATTTGTTATGTTTTCGATTTTAACCTCAAGGAACTGTGGACTGCCACATGCCCTTTTTGTGCAGGGCCTAGCAAAATGCAGCATGAACCTGTAGTCACCAGTTCAGTATGAACAATTAGCTGTGTATTATCATAACAGCCTTATAAGTACACGTCCTTGTTCTCCTCTAAACTGTAAGAGGTTGAAGAACCTTGGAAAGTAATAGCAAGTACTTGCCTGGTACCCGTAGATCTGTTATTTATAAGAAGTTAAGTCTCACACACTTAAATACAGTTTTAGAGATTCTTTTGGATCGCTTATTTTGCTTGTTCTTGGAATAATTGTCAAGTCAGAAGATGTCACATTTCTACTGAAATAACATTCAAACACTATACACAAAAATATTTTTTTAGGAGGCAGAAAACACTGACAAAAATTTTGGTGAGCCCACAGACTCACCAACACCTTATCCGTGTTTGAAAATACTTGAACACAAAGCAACACAATGGTATGTAGTATTTGACCACAGAAATAAATTAATTGCTTCTCATTTCTCACCTCAGATTTTTACAGTGTAAAAATAGGTACCTGATAATGCAGATAAAGACAGAGCAATTGCCAAGAGATTATTAAATATAATGACTTGCATTACTCAATGACCAAACAAGATTAGCATTTATTTTTTCAGCTGATACAGAAAAAAATTTTAGCTCTTTTTCCCCCATTTGCCTTCTTATTTTTGTCCTGAGTATTTCTGTTTTTTCCTGTTATAAATGAAAAATAAATTTACTTCTTACTTGGTAGAAAGGTAGTATCTGAGAAAGAACTCCATTTAGTGGCCATCTGACTTTGATTAGTTACAGCTCAAGAGCTGTATTCTCATTTTTACTACCAGCTGCTTGTGACTGAATAAGGCCCTAGCTATATGACTCAGTATCCATTTGCAAAATTGATAAGAAATACCCGCTGTGTAACAATTGCGAAACAATCCTGTTTGGTGACATCCTCAGAAGTATGTTAATAAGTAGAAATTCAAATATTCTCTCTTTCTTACTTTTCTGAAAACTAGTTGCTTCAAACGTTGTTTTGACTTTTTTGAATTCATAACGATTTTTCTACTTCAGTGGGCATGCCAGGTCCTAGATTATTATTTAATGATTGAAGTCTTTCTTCAACTTTTATTTCTCATTATCTTTATCTGGCAAGACTGCCTTTGCCTAGTGCCTAGGAATTAAATGCCAGGCAGAAAAACATCATGAAGTCACATTAATCAATTATGATTTGATCTGCTTTCCACAACTTTTATTTTGCAGGTAACAAACCTGTGTAGCTTTGTTCAGTCTGTTCCCACTTCTGTGAAGGACTAGAGATGGGGCTTAGTGAACATTAATCATGCTGTATTGTATGTTGAGCTGACTTTGAAAGATGCTTTTAAACATGCATGGGTGATGTAGTTGAAATTTGAACTTCAATATATTATTTTTACTGCAACTTTCTTTAATTCTGTAGCGATCTCAGACTAATGAGTCATGTAATAGATGACCAAGTGCTTAAGCAGAATGTGAAATGATACAAGGTGGGGACATAAAATAAGATCCGTGACAAGCTGAACACATTTATTACACAAGAAGATATTGAAAATGAAGAAGTAACTACACAAGATATTAATCATTGACTGAATTCCAATCACTTGAACTTTACCAAGTAACAGATTTTAATTTTGGGGTGGGGAATTCTGTTTGGTGGGTTCGGAGATTTTTTGATTAAAAGTATTTATAGCACATCTAGTCACCAACACTATCACTTAAACAATCTGGATTAGTATTTATAAGAAGACACTAAGGGATAGTGTCCTGATTTTAACTAGATTAGTCACTGAGTATTGGAGCAGTGAGAAGCACTAAAATTAATAGAAATACCTGGGAGTTGTTCTACTTAGCACTGCAAGCCAATGCCTGGATCAAAGGCATTAACATTTACCTACTCTGCCCTTCTGAAATCAGTGGGCTTTAGACATCTGAACAGATTTGACTTTCCAAGCTTAATTGACAGAGGCAGTGAGAAGCTGAGACAATCAAGTTACCACATTTTTGCTGAGCTACAGTGTCTCCCAGACAGTATACTAAGGAAAGTGTCTTAGATTAACATCTGGTTTCAATTACTTTGTATTTGTGACCCACTCAGCATTCACACAGGATAGCTGTGGTGGAAACACAAACTAAGTAACTTTTGTGAAAAGACTAAGTTCCCTCCAATGATTGAACCCTAAGCATCAGAAGTGATTTACAACATTTGGAAGCCCAAGCACTAAATCCAAAGATTTAAGCCTCTAAGGTCCTACAGTGTCTGCTTTTTGACTCCTGGGTCCAGACCAGACTCTAGAACTAGAAGACAGGTGCACACACTGTCTGTGCAAGCTATGTATACAGCCAGTGCCTCAAAAAATTAAAAACTGCACACTGAGTACAGAGTACTTGAACACAGTGCAGTGACCTCACTACAGATGCAGTGACCTCAAAATAAGCACCATGGAAATGTAGAAGGTTGGAGTAAGTTCTAAATCCCATGCATAAAAATACCTTACACACAGCTGTAGCAAAGAACCTTTTTCACTCAGACCCATGGTCATGAGCTAGCAGCACAAATGAAAACTTAAATTAAAAATCGGTTCTGCAGTGTAGTTTTATTCATTTTACTTGAAATTACTAAGGAAATACCACTAAAAAAAAAAA